GACACGGACTGTGTCTATAGTGGCATTGTGTCGCCTGCCAATGACATCTCACACCCTCGCTTTCCGGTTTTGTTTTGTAGAAAACATGGAAACACCAAAGATGCTTTAATATATTATGCATTTTATTAGACAGGTGACGACCGCACAGAGTACATATTGTGCCTTTAAATAACTAAGAACCAGTCGTCTGACACAAAATAGATGTCATGTAAAAGCTCTGTACTTTAGAGAAATTAAATTCATTCAAAAGGTTGGGGTATTTTTTATTTTTTTTTAAGTAATACTTTCATTCAGCAAGGATGCATTGAATTGATCAAAAGTGACAGTAAAAACTTTTATGTTGTTACATAAACTCTTTATTTATCAAAGAATCCTGAAAAAACGTAATAGTTTCCACAAAAATACAAAGCAGCACATCTGTTTTATTGAAAATTCAACTTCGCAATTGCAGGAATAAATTACATTTTAAAATATATTTAAGAATTTTTTTTTTTTTAATTGTAACAATATTTCACAATATTACTGTACTGTATTTTTACTTTTTTGGAAATAATGCATCCTTGCTGGGCATAAGAGACTTCTTTCAAAAACATTATCAAATCTTACAACCCCAAAGGTTTGTTCTGTAGTATACATTATACAAATCAAATGTAATAATATACAAAATTTATATCATATACATCATTTTATATATATATATATATATATATATATTTACTTTTATTACATTTTTATTTACTCATTTAAATTTTCAGAATGCACCTGGAAGAGTTCTTCCGACTCCTCGTGTTCTACAAAGGTATTTGATTTCGATGCAGTAGATTAAGTACATTTTCCAGTTTCTGTAATGTTTCTAACCATCTCTCTGGTTGAACCTACAGAAACTGCAGCACTAAAGACCTGACACAGTTTGCAGCTGATGCCATCGCGTTCAATCGGCAGCTGTCTCAGAAGGAGGAAGAGCAGGAGGACTTCGGTGCCGTGGTCTGCTCCATGAGGCTTTCCCCTCCATCTAACGCTAGATTAGCCCGTCGCCGAGCACAATCTCAAGCACTACGCTCCAATAACTGATGCCTACCCACCGCACAGGCGCTCCAGTTATACTCGTGCACACCATAGTGCATTATAACTCTTCATACACATACCTTCTCTGGCGAACGGATGGGTTCTTGAGCAAACACACATGTATATGCACCACAGTCTCAGTGTTACCAACTTTGTAGGACAGACTAACCTTATATATATATACAAACCAAAAACATCCAAACATTTCTAATTTATACACAGAGTTATTAACACTCTGTGTAATGTGAGTTTTTTGTGTTTTAAGCATCAGAAATTGTGCTTGTTTTTATATTTATTACCAAATATTTATGGCTGGTGGTGTTTGTCAGTCAGATATAAAAAGGGTGCTCAGCTCTGAGGGAATCTACAGATGGTTTGATTTTAATGTTGCCACATCAGTGAGGCTTTTAATCAACATTAGCATTTCTATTCTTAACAAAACATCGATTCTTTTAACATTTTTAAAAACCGCTCGAGTTACTGTAAAGCACAGGACCTCTTGCTTTGTTACTTTTCTATTGTTTATTTATATAAGGTCTAGCTGTAGTCTAGTTATTGTTTTGGTTTATTTGAGCAATGTAAAGCCATGCTGCATGACAGTAACATGCACATTATGAGCTGTATCATTATGTATGTCTTAAGTGGAAATGCAATCGAGAGGTATCGCTGCTTTACTGAGGGTGCTCATTAGGTGTTACATATATTTGGCCAGCTCAAATAATTAGTAAATATTGCACAGTACGTATTTTTGTCTTTACAGATTTCAGATGATTATATTTTTTCATTTTATGTATATTTTTTTTCATGGTTCTGCTTTGTTAGAATGTTGAACATTATTTTGTTGTAAAAGTGAACTATTTTTATATGCGTCAGGGCAATGAGCCGGTTCTACAGCCGATTCAGTTACGAGATGGAGTATGTTTTACTTTTTTGGTTTGTATTTCGTGCAAATTGTGCCATTTTGGGAGGGGGCAAAGCTCCTAGTGTGCAAAATAACCAAATTACTCTCAATTGCCTTTTGTATTATCAAATTCTAAATGATGCACGGTAATTTTTTCCTGTTATTTGTTGCTCAGAATGTTATTTGAGGTAAGATGAAATGGTAAGAATTTAGTGGTTGTCCATGTATTATGTATGTACCTTTGTGAGTATGTGTTGGGAAACATTTCATGTACCAGGGATGACACTAGAGTGCGCTACCTCATATTAATGGCTATGTTCTCAGTACTCAGTGCTTCTGCTACTCTAAAGGAGTAACAAAGGCTAATTTCAGGAATGGTGTCTATATGGAATGGCCATTTAACTCCTAAAAAACTGGGGCAGATCACAGGTCAGAGGAGTTAATTTGGTTTTCCAATTTTGAGAAATAAAGTAGTTTGCACTGACAATTGAGTCTTTATTCAATGCATTTAATACAGCAATATTGTGGATAACAATAGAAATTTTGATGATTATGATATCACTATTATATTAATGCTGATAAAGGCTGCAATCATTAAGATTTTAGGCAAAAAAAAAAAAAAAATCTGAATAAAGGAAAGTATATATAGACCCTGTAACTGTTCATAGATTTCTTTTCCCACATCTAATAACTTTTTGCCTTTGCTAGTTTTAAGACTAACAGTTTGTCTACTTTTATATTTCATAACAAGACCAGAAAACAGTTTGGTCCTTCTCGTAATTTATAGTTTAATTAATTGCCTGCAAAATCTACCTCACGTAAATGAACTGAACGCGAATAAACACAATAACGAAAAGCACAGGCAATAAAGGGAAGTGTTCTATCTGTAAACCTTTCCTCAAGGCTTTCTTAACCCTTGTGTTGTGTTCAAAACCCTATAACACTTGTGATGTTCCAGGGCAAAAATAACCTGGCCTCAAAAAATTGCTTATAAATCACTCATTATGCTATATTATCACCAAAGATTGGATTCAATCTTTTTGTCAACTTCTTTTCTTTCATTTAGGACTGGTTTTGTATTTATATTTGCATCTGATTAATCGTAGGCCTCATTTATCTGAAAGTAGGCACCTCATTTTTTGAGTGGAAAAAGGATTATGAATAATTTTCACAATATTAAATAAAATGTGGAGAAAATGTGCACTGTTTATCACACTAGTGTACTTTAATGTTTAATCAGGGAGTTTGTTTTGAAAGGCTTTTATTTTGTACAAAATGGCACAAAGTCACACTTGTGGTGTTCCCGGGCCAAAAATTACTGTGTGAGTGAGTGAGTGAGTGAGTGAGTGAGTGAGAGAGAGTTATACTATCAGATAGATGAAATGATATTGGATGCAGTTCAGGGTAGGATGAAATAGAAAGCTTGTAATACTCCCAATAGTTTGTATACGTACGTGTGTGTTTGTTAGAGTGAGTAGGCTATGCATGCATCCACACATGAACAGGTCCAAGGCCTTTATGTTTGCAAGCACACATACATATGTGAACGTGAACATGATCAACATGCTCCTGAACACTAATAGTTTCTATTACTTTCATTCTTTCCCATTCACTTTGAATGGCTGGACATTTTTGACCGGGAACACCACAAGTGTGACTTTGTGCCATTTTGTACAAAATAAAAGCCTTTCAAAACAAACTACCGGATTAAGCATTAAAGCACACTATTGTGATAAACAGTGCAAATCCCTGATTAAACATTAAAGTACACTAGTGTAATAAACAATGCAAATTTTCATCAGTTTTTAGAATATTTTAAACTCACGTGCGAAAGGGTTAAACTTGCTGTACTGTCGTTTTTAGTAAATGCCGGACAGAGAAACTGCAGGTTCATTTAGTTCGCTGCTCGAGCTCAGATAAAAGCTCGATCTCCGCGGTTTTCTGTCAGGTAAGTTTTCAGTATGAATCTGATTTCACCTTAGCCTCGGTGTATTTTTATGTTGTATAAATGACTATAAATAGGCTACAGCTGATGATGAGTGGTCCGAAGTGGCCATCACAGTTTTGCTAGCGCTCGGCTGATGCTGACATGGCTATATCATTTTTTTCTTTTCTTTTAGCCTAGCTATAGGCTATATATTTTTCCTAATGATACTATTAGCCTAAATATGCCGTCAATCGTCATGAAATGTTTCTTAACCTTTGCTTTTAAGTATCTTTTTTATGTCTTATATCCAGGCGCCTACTAATAAAATAAAATAAAAATACTTATTGAGATTCATGCTCCCGGTTTCGATTACAGTTACTTACAAATGACTACAGACAATTCAGTTGCAGGCATTTTTATTTTCAGTTTCGTTTTTGACTGCAATGCAGCAATGAAATCCTGCAGCCTTGGGTCACGCATTTCTTAATGCAATAAGCATCGCTACCATTAAATTGAATATAGTTCTTATTCAAAAAAAAGATGTTTTGTTTGTTTGTGCATTTTAATGGCCAGTTGTGTAAGCGGTGCAAATGACAATTAAAATAGGCCTACCTGGCAAAGTTAAAGTGCTTTTAATGCATTAGATTACTGGTCAAAAACTAAAACTACTAAGACATAAAATTGGCTAAAACAGAACTTATAAAAATTCAAAGAGACACTTTGGGTTTGCTCTCAAAAGCATTGGAATATAGCTTCCCTTTCACCTAATTTTATTTCCATCACCAGTTTTAGGTTGTTTGCAAAAGTTTTGCTAGCAAACACAGTGTTTCTCAGGGGAATGAAAAGCATTGAGATATAATGTTTCCTCCCCTATAATGTCTAGGGCAGGGGTGGGCAAACTTGGACCTTCCAGGTCACTTTCCTTCAGAGTTTAGCTCCAACTCTATTCAAACACACCTGAACCGGCTAATCATTGTCTTCGAGACTACTAGAAAGCTACAGGCAGGTGAGTTTTATCAGGGTTGGATCAAATCTCTGCAGGAAAGTGGCCTGGAAGGGCCAAGTTTGCCCATCACTGGTCTAGGGGCTCTGTAGCACTTGCACTTGAGTTTTTTTAATGTGTGCTTATTTTTCTTGTACAGCACTTTTAGCTTCGATCACATCTTGAAAATGGAAGAATTGATGAATTGTTTGAATATGGTCCTACTGGGAAAACAAGGAGATGGGAAAAGTGCAACAGGAAACACAATACTAGGACGAAAAGCTTTCAAGTCAAAGAAAACATCTGAATCCGTCACAGAAGATGTGGTGGAAGAATCTGGAACCGTCTCCGGTCTACAGGTCACCATTCATGACACACCAGGATTCTCTGACATGAAGCTAAAGGAGAATGCGATTCAGCAGAAATACCAGAACGTTTTTCAGAAATGTGAATCAGGTCCCTGTGCGTTTCTCCTGGTCATCAAAGCTGACAGGTTCACTGAAGAAGACAGAAAAACTGTGGAGAAGATTGAGAAGCTCTTGGGACGAGAGCATCTCCAGAAAACCTGGATTCTCTTCACCAGAGGAGATGAACTGGAGGATGGAAATTTGACAATAAAAGAGTTAATCACTGAAAACAAACATTTGAAGAAACTCCTTCAGAAATATGACCAGAGATACCATGTGTTCAACAACAAGAAAAAAGGACACAGTGGACAAGTTACACTGCTCCTTGCAAAAATTCTCAAGACGTTTCTTAAGAAAACAGGTGAGTCTTTTTGGTAATGTTCTAACATGTTCTAACTACTCTTACTAACACTTCATATATTTTTTAACAGAAAAAGGAGCAGGGAAACTGGAGCAGCCTCCGCCGAAGAGATGCACATTAATGTCAAAAAATGCTAACGAATCCACAAGGATGGTGCTCCTGGGTGAAACTGGTGCAGGAAAGAGTGCAGCCGGTAACACCATACTGGGACAGAAGGTGTTCAAATCTGCAGTAACCAATAAATGTTTAAAGAAACACGCCATGGTTGCAGGCAGGATAGTGTCTGTAGTTGATACACTTGATTTCTTTGACACAAAGAAGAACCCTGAGCAGTTAGTTAGAGAGACGGCGAGAAGCATTTCTTTATCCAGACCCAGACCTCACGCTTTTCTCATTGCATTTCCTGCGAACATGAGGTTTACTGAGCGTGAGGAGCAGATTCCTCAGATGGTCCAAATACTGTTTGGAGAGGATGCATTAAAATACTCCATCATTCTCTTCACTCATGGGGATCAGTTAGAAGGAGGGTCCATTGAGAAACTTATTGAGGGGAACTGTGCATTAAGACATCTAGTACAGCAGTGTGGAGACAGGTATCATGTCCTCAACAATAAAAACATTAAAGATAGAAAGCAGGTCAATCATCTACTGCTGATGATTGACAGAATGATAGTGCAGAATGGCAGATACTACACTAATGAGATGCTTCAAGATTCTCAACAAGGGGAAGAACAGCTGACACAAAGGAGGGAGAGAAAAATAAGCATACAAAGAAACTCTGGATATTCTTTTTTATCAGGGGATTGCCATCATTTTAACATGTTAGTCGTTGTAGTTAGTGTAGCTATTGGAGTTGGTCTTGGAGCTGTTTGCGGAGCTCCTGGAGGAGCTCTTGCTGAAGCTTTTAGTGGAGGTGGTGCAGGTGGTGTAGCTGGTAGTGCAGTTTTTGGTGGAGCTATTGGTGCAGCCGTTAGTGGAGCTGGTAGTGACTCTATTGGTCAAATTATTGGTGGAGCTGTTGGTGGTGGTGTTGGTTTCAAGGCTAGTGGGAATTTCGGCCATACTGTTGGAGATGTTAGTGAAGCTCTTGCTGATGCTGTAGGTGTAGCTTATGGTGGCCATTTTGGTGGCAAAGTTGGTGGAGCTGTTGGTGGAGTTGTTGGTGGAGCTGTTGGTGGAGCTTTCGGTTACGCTGTTGGACCTTTTAATGGAGCTGTTGGAGCTGTTAGTGGAGCTTGTGCTGGTGCTGTAGGTGGAGCTTTTGGCGGCTATGTTGGTGGCGAAGTTGGTGGTGAAGTTGGTGGAGCTGCTGGTTACATAGTTAGTGAAGTTTTTGGTAGCACTGCTGGTGATATTGCTGGTTGCTTTGTTGGTGGAGCTGTTGGTGGCGTTGTTGGTGGAACTGTTGGTGGCATTGTTGGTGGAAAAGTTGGTGGCATTGTTGGTGCCATTGCTGTTGGGCCTTTGGCTTTAGTTACTGGAGGACCTGCTGGTGGAAATGTTGGTGGAGTTGTTGGTGGAGTTATTGGTGGAGTTTTTAGTGGTGCTATTGAAGGAGCTTCTAAAAGAGCTAATAGACGAGCTAATAGAAGTGTGTGTGTAGATTTTGATAGAATCTAAAATAAACATTTTGTCACAGATTCATATTTGAATCCGGTTATTTATTCACCACTAAGAGACTTTGAGACTTCCAAAGCAATTACTCTACATATAACATTGCAGCGTTCAGGCTTCTGACGTTCATTAAACAAGGCGAAAGAAAGTTACAATTAGCAAACTACTCCTTGTCATTAGTACCGGAAGAAATTGGATCATTTTGATGTGAACAGTTTTAACACTAAACACAGCTAAACACAGTATTTGGTTAGAAAAATTTTCAATGTACAGAATCAGTAGCATAGATTTTAAAAATGGGTAGGGACATATAAAAATATATGTATCCATGTAGTGTAGGTCAGATCATAAGAGGCCAGGTTTAGCAGTTTTTTTTAATGAACCTGATAGGGGATCAGCCCAACTTAAAATTAACATCTGCTGCTTTTTTTGCCTTTAGCAGGTTTACTTTGAAATTGCAAGTTGAAATCTTGCTTGACTTACATCTTTTTTTTAAATAAGTGAATCATTTTCAGTGTTTGTCTGTTAATGTATATCAGTAGTTGTTTTTGTATCTGTATCTAAATGTATACCTATGCACACAATGAAATTAGTGATGACATTACTTTCCTGATGACGATGGTGAAGCTGGAGGTGTTTTGTTGTCATCTTTAGACATCGGTCTGTGACATTAAGTTTAATTAATTATTATAGATATACACATAAAAGTATCATAAAACTGAAAAAAGTATTGGGTGGTTATGATGTTATGATGTTGAGAGAGACAAGAAAGATGATCTTTCTTGATTATCTCCTCACTGCAGCATCTGTCTGGCTGTTAGAAAAATGTAAACTGCAAACACAGTTGACTGATTTATGAGAAACCAAATGTTTTATACTGCAAAATCTCATATAACATAAAATTTATCATAAAGCATGTTATTCCACCAATTACTCAGATGGATATAATTGCATGAGTTCAACTCTCATTAACATTAATTTTAACGACTAAATGTATTTGATGAAAAATAAATCTAATGTGAATAATTTGTTGCTTCATGTAGTGATGCTCTGTTTGATATTAATAAAGCTTTTTGTTGACATTTTTGCATGACTTCTGTAACCCTGTTTTTCACTAAATATGAATAGAAGATAACTACACTTTCAATGAGTTTAGATTTAAAAAAAATGTATTCATTAAATTGAACAAAAGATTAGAATCACAGGACTGTGTGTTTTAATTTCTTTGTCAGAACAAATCAAAATGGGTCTACTGGCATTCACTACAGTAACCACAACATTTTACTGCTAATTTGCATACTAAGATGTACTATTAAGGTGTTTTTTGACAGAGACATCAACTTGACAACAACTGTCACCCATACACGTCTTTTGACCAATGAATTTCCAAAAATGTTCAGTCTTGATTACTGAATAACGTTTACACAACAACAACACCTAGAGGTCAAAGGCTGGCAAACATAAGCTAGTATTCGGCACTGACGGAAGCGTGAGATTTCGACTGTATGTTTCACGGTTATAGTTATTGAAATGACATAACGTTTTGATGTTTTAATGATAATACTTGGGTAAATGCCACAATATCCATCTAATCTGCTAAAAAGCATTTCATATTTATTATTCTCAAACAACAAAAAGATGTGGAGCAGGCGTACAGACTTGCCACATGTACCACCCTTGTTTTGTTACATATAACACAAACCCATTCTGGATGATAATAATAAAGCGTTTTTACGTAAATGCAATCTTTATCCTAAGGTATTTGGCCAAAATCTTCCAGATCACTATTCAGTTGTTCCTCTGCACAGTATAATCAGAGATGGGTAGATTAAAAATTGTAATCTGTTTCTGATTCCAAATTACATGACAATGTAATCCATTATTTCACATTTTAGGTAACATAATCAGACTACTTTTAGATTACTTTTGACCTAACTCGTTTATCACTTTGATTTAAATAGAATGATCTTGTACCATATTGATATAAAAATACAAAGAGTAAGAAAATATATTCCATTTGTTGTAATTATCAACATGAAGTGCATTAAACATTATATTACATCAAGGTTTCCCAAACTGGGGTTCGTAAAGGAACTGCAGGAGGTTCACGAGTTTAATGAAAAGCTAACAAATAATTAAATCATAAAAATTTTAAATTAAATAATTTAAACACGATTCAGAAACAGAAAGTTGTGCAGCTGCTTTGTTTACAGGGTTTCCGGGGTAACGGCTGCATTAAAATGAATTATTAGTATTATTATTTCTGCAGTTTAGCGCCATCTGCTGTCAGAGAGTGAAAGTGCGCTTTCATCCAGAGCGTCTCTCACATGTTCCGCCATGTGCTTCTCATCCGCGCTTGTTTACATCAAAGTGCGCAGGTGTCTTTCACGCAGCATACAGCGGTGTTGTGCATTTTGACCAGTTGATGGTAAAAGTATTCTTAAAATGCATTCAAAATTCTGAATAATTTGTAATATATAATTATTCACGGTATTTAGAAGTGCCCACGATAACAATACCGTGCATACTCATTACCGTGATGTATCGCATTACCGAATACCGGCACAAGTCTACCTGCATGTCATGTGACCATTAACCAACGTCAGAGAACCCTGAACATGCAAATGTGACGGGCCTACTTAATTAGGCCTATTAAAATATTTATTTTTAAAATCTCGGGGGTATTTTAAGTAAACATATTAGGTGAAAGAGGTTCAGTTTGGGAATGTCTGCGTTACATGTAGGTAAATAAGAAATAACGTTAATATGTGCATTTTTAATGTGTTTGAAAGACAAAAGCCTTCCAAAGCTATATTAATACATGGTCAAATAACTTACTGAGTGATAATTCAAATAAAAATGAATGTGTTCATCAGTAGCCTAGTTGATGCAATGTTGAAACACTTCTTAAACCTGAAATGATTTTTGTAAATCTAGTGGTCAAATGCTGTGTATCCACCTTCTTTGTGTCAATGTCCACAAAACTGGACTTTCTGAGAGTAGCGGTAAGATATTTTAGAAAGGAAAATTTAAAAGATGAAAAAGAGGAATTAGGGCGAATCAGTCAATTATGAATAATTTATTGCTATTGTGTGAATAATATGTAATCATGTAATCAATAAAAAAGTAACTGTAGTCTGATTACAAGTATTTTAAAATGTACTTTACTCTAATTACAAGTACGTAATTTTTGGAATCTGATTACGTAATCCGGATTACATGTAATCAGTTACTGCTGTTTCAGTTCATTGTCCTTCAACACTGACGCATGCGCAGACGCTCAGTTCCTGTGTCGCCATGTCTGCTACGCATGCGCATTGTCGGCCTCAAGCGGCACTATATATCAGCTGTCGAGCCTCTGCCCCATTCCACCTTCAGCCATTTTAACGATGCTGGGAGCTGTGGGACGCTGCTGCACCGGGGCTTTGCAAGCTCTCAAGCCCGGGGTGACCCCCCTGAAGGCTCTCAACGGAGCTCCAGCAGCGCTGTTTTCTCGTAAGTACAATTCATTGGTTGGTTTTTAAAACGGTTGGGTTTAACGCAGCTAACCCGACAGCAGCGTCATGCTAAATGGCAGCAAGTGCAAGGCCGCAAAGTCCTAACCTCACCGTTTCCAGTGATTACTTTCGCGTGATGTGCTACACGTAGGAAATAAACTGGATGGAAATAAACTGACATAACGGAATACTTAATTTGACGACAACAGCTCATTCTGGTGGGCATGAAAACAGGAATGACCTTTATGTGTCATGCGCTGCTAGCTGTGATCGCAGCTCGCGAGGTCACGGTACAGATAAACATGTTGAATAAGATCACGAGTAAATGCAACCACATTTATAAACATTTACAGTCTCGAAATGCAGATCGCAGGCAGATCCCAACAGATTTTGATTTTCTACAATATCGACTTGCTTGCGTTCATTCATTAACGTTAGCCTGTTTTGACTTCTCAGGATGCTGAGCAAACAAACTATACGTTAGTGACTAATCAAAATAAAATTGCAAAAAGGTTATTATCCGTGCCAGTTTCATGCGATATTTCTCTTCCTCTCTCAGGCAGGGATTATGCCGCTCCTGCCGCAGCTGCTGCCGCCGCCAGCGGGCGTATCGTTGCGGTCATCGGTGCCGTTGTGGACGTACAGTTCGACGAGGATCTGCCCCCTATTCTCAATGCCCTGGAAGTGGCCGGCCGTGACACCAGGCTAGTCCTGGAGGTGGCTCAGCATCTCGGTAATGAGACTAAAGCGTTTGAATCCGAATTGAAAAGTCACGATAGACTTGTAAAGTAACTGTTTTTGCTCTTCTTTAGGTGAGAACACCGTCCGCACCATTGCTATGGACGGTACCGAGGGGCTGGTGCGCGGTCAGAAGGTTCTTGACACCGGTGCCCCCATCAGAATCCCTGTGGGACCTGAGACACTTGGCAGGATCATGAATGTCATCGGCGAGCCTATTGACGAGAGAGGACCAATTACCACAAAACTGTGAGAGTTTATTAAGAACACTAAAGCAACTTAATCGTGTTTGCTAACTCATTTAAGGAGCATTAGTCCTCTTGTAAAGTAGACAATTTAATGTTTGAGATGCAGGCAGATGTGTCTTTGCTGTTGAGTTGATTGTGATCTGTTGTTCAGGACTGCCGCCATCCATGCGGAGGCCCCAGAATTCACAGACATGAGTGTCGAGCAGGAGATTCTGGTCACAGGAATCAAGGTCGTAGATCTGCTGGCACCCTATGCCAAGGGTGGCAAGATCGGTATGTGTGTGGATATACTACTGTTAAAAAAGATTGGGCTCAGGTATTTTTTAATGAATGCTTATTAAATTGATCAAAAGTGACCGTAGAGACACTTATAATGTTATACAATTTCTAGTTTAAATCAGTGCATTTTATTCTTTATTTTCTATTCATCATAGAATACTGAGAAAATGTATCATGGAGTTCTTTTCAACATTTGATAAGTGTTTGGCACCAAATCAGCATATTAGAATGATTTCTGAAGGATCATGTGTCACTGAAGACTGGAGTCAAATTCAGCTTTGCCATCACAGAAATGGATATAGATTTAAAGTGGAAAAGTTAAGTTATAGTATTATTTCAAAGTATTACTCTTTATTGCATTTGATCAAATAAATGCAGCCTTGGTGAGCATAATAGTTTTTCAAAAACATTAGAAATAAATCTTTGACTCCAAACTTTTGAGCCATG